TCAATTTAGGATGATTCATTGTCTATTCAGGTATTCCACAGACGCAGGGTACATCAAATTGATCGTGGAGATTTAATCCACTGCTCCTGAGGCTGCTGAGAGAGATTTCCCTTTCTCTTCTTTGTTCGCACAGCTCCCGGGGTTCAGCTTTGGATTTGGACCTGCCTCTTAGTGTAGGTCGCATGAGGACGTCTGTTCTTCGCTCAGACAGGACGGGGTTAAAGGAGCAGCTGATTCAGGGACTCTGGCTCACTCAGGCCGTGGGGGAAGGAGGGGTACGGAATGCAGGGCTAGCCTGCGGCAGCAGAGCCCAGCATGACATTGCACCAGCCTGAGGTGCGCTGTTCATCCTCCCAGGAAGTTGTCCCTGGATCACGGGACCCTGGCAGTGGCGGGCTGCACAGGCTCCCAGGACAGGAGGTGTGGATAGTGACCGGACACACAGGCTTCTTGGTGGCTGCAGCAGCAGCCTTTGCGTCCCATGCCGGTCTCTGGGGTCCGCACTTTTAGCCGCGGCTCGCGCCCGTCTCTGGAGCTCCCTTAAGCGATGCTCTCAACACCCTCTCCTCGCGCACCAGGAAACAAAGAGGCAAGAAAATGTCTCTTGCCTCTTCCGCAGCTCCAGACTTTTTCCCGGACTCCCTCCCGGCTAGCCGTGGAGCGCTGACCCCTGCAGGCTGTGCTCACGCCGCCCACCCCAGTCCTCTACCGGCGTTCCTACCGAACCTTAATCCTACATTTAATATTGATATTCTTTTCTAATTTTAGAGATGACCCCAAGAATTTAGAGAACTGAATAACAACTGGCACTTTTTCTGTGTGGAAAGAATTTAGAGAGAAGCTGAGCAATGGAATAAACAAATAAAGTGGGCTTTGCATCCTTCCGATTACAATCGTTTTCTAATCATCGCATCTGACACATTTGGTACAACCTACTCTGGACATCCCACCTCTACTTTGGCTTACAGTGATCTCATCTGAGGCGTGTTTCAGAGGTTTGCAAAGTACTCCTCGCGTACAACATTGAGTTACAATAAGTACCTTCTTATCAGTTCAACCTCTTCAACGAAGTAGGCAGAGTTGTTAAATCTATGGTTTAAGGACAGAGTCTTTTCTGTTCTTTGTGCTTGTTACCACGTGGCAGCTTTGGCACCACAGAGCCCTTCTGTGTAGAGATCACTACTGAAGCCTCTAGCACCAGTGTGTTGCAGTCCACTCAATGGGCCAGAGCTACGCTGGGTTTCCTGGGGCTGCCCCATGCACTCAGCCCACACAAGGGCTGCACTAAAGGAAAGAGAAGCACTCTCTTCTTCTGTGCCACTCTGTTCACACACACACACACACACACGCACATGCACACACACACACACACACAGTCAATCCATGGCCATACTCTGCTTTTATTTTCTTCACAGCACTTCCTGAAATCATATCATAGACTCATTTGTTTACTGTTTGTCTTCACCTCCATGAAGACTGGGAATTTTATCTGTTTTGTTCCCTACTATCTCTCCAGCACTTGGAGCAGCACCTGGCACACAACAGGCACTCAATAAATATTTGCTGAACAAATGAATTAATCCAGCAAGAAAGAAAAAATTAACAGAATTGGGAAGACCAGTCAGAAAAAATTAACCCAAGAATATGTTGAACTCCCCCAAATTAATTCATTTTAAATTACTGGTCATTTGTTAAACAGCCAACACTGTCTACATCACACCAGACATCTATTCTGCAATACCTGAAGACATTACACTTGTATGAAGTAGAAAAGAAACAAATCTATTGTCAGAAACATTGGCGATGCATTGCAGCAACTTGGATGGATCTAGAAGTTATCATACGAAGTGAAGTCAGTCAGAAACAGAAAGACGAATACCACATGATATCACTTATATGTGGAATCTAAACTATAACACAAATGAACTTATCTATGAAACAGAAACAGACTCACAGACATAGAGAACTGACTTGTGGTTACCAGCGGGGAGGGGGAGTAGGGTCAGGTTGGATTAGAAGTTTGGGTGAGCAGATGCAAACTATTATATATAGAATGGATAAACAAGAAGATCCTACTGCACAGCACAGGGAACTATATTCAATATCCTGTGATAAACCATAATGGAAAAGAATATGAAAAAGAATGTATATATGTATAACTGAATCACTTTGCTGTACAGCAGAAATTAACTCAACATTGTAAATCAACTATACTTCAATAAATTTTTAAAAAATATCAGCAACGCACTTAATGCTATACAAAATTCCATTGTAGTTGTAATGACAATAACTCACATTAAGATTTTTCTGGTTGGTAATATTCCTTCTTGAAACTGCTCAGTGCTTCAGTATTACAACTGGCTCATCATCCAGATTATTAGAAGATTTAACTCTGCTTTATTTCTCTACTCAGCAAACATTTCAACAATTCAATATTTATTACATACCAGGCATGTGCAAGGATTAAAGAGATAAATCAAGATTTTTGAACTTACAGGCTACAGACAAATAAAAGACCTCACAGCTGGATAAAGCACCAACTAAAAATTAGTTTTTCTTTTGTAGCAGAGCCCTTAAATGCACCTCTGCTGTATTTGCCATCTGCCTTTTATGGAGAGCAGAGTGAAGACCCTTTAGGACTCTGGGCAAGTAAACCAGCATGTGTCTTCACGGAATTCTGAATGACCCCCAGAGTTCAGAAATGTTAGATAATTACTAAACAATATCAGAAAAAAATAAAGATGCTATTTCCTTTACACAGTTTAGGCATTTAAAATCTAATCTCAGGGGCTTCCTTGGTGGCGCAGTGGTTAAGAATCCGCTTGCCAATGCGGGGACACAGGTTCGAGCCCTGGTCCGGGAAGATCCCACATGCCGCGAAGCAACTAAGCCCGTGCGCCACAACTACTGAGCCTGCGCTCTAGAGCCCGTGAGCCACAACTACTGAGCTCACGCAACACGACTGCTGAAGCCCACGCGCCTAGAGCCCGTGCTCCACAAAAAGAAGCCACTGCAATGAGAAGCCCACGCACCACTGTGAAGAGTAGCCCCTGCTTGCTGCAACTAGAGAAAGCCCGCGCACAGCAATGAAGACCCAACGCAGCCAAAAAATAAATTAATTTTAGATGAATAAATTAATTAAATCTAGTCTCGGTTTTGTGAAGTAATATGTATATACTACCCAGTTACCAGTGGTTATCTCAAGGTAAAGGGATAAGAGCTGCTTCTTAATTTCTTTTATATGCTTTTGTTTCTTGTCCAAATTTTCTACAATTTAACATTTGCAATGAGAAAAATAGATTATTTTTAAAATATTATTTTAAATCTATCAATTAACTATGAAGCTTTTCTATGGCTGTTTAAATTATTGAAATTAAATCTACAGGTCAAGTCCACGTTAAATTTGTCTGGTTCTCATGACAATTAACATTGTGCTTAATGTAGGAAGGAAATAGAGGACTAAAGCAAAAAGTACATTTTGTGTTTGGTTTCTGTGGCATCTCAAGTCTCCTTCTCCTGAACTTGTCTATTTTTTTCTTAGGCTGGGTACTCCATTACACTCTCCCAGGAGTTTGTGTGAGATAGAAGAACCCACTGTTTGGGTTTCCCAAGGACTAAAGCCTGTCCTGCACTTAATGAACTTATTTCTTTGGGATAACTTTCTGCAAACGACAGAAAATATACCCTAGATCCCTGCTAGTACTCATAACACAAAAACATTCATTTACAAACCATAATATATAAGAGGAATTCCTTCTTGGAAAATAATAATAATAGCTAACACCTACCACAGGCACCTGTCACCCTGTGCGAGTACCCCATGGTACCCATTCTCATAGGGTTGGTCCTCATCCAGGGGCACATGCCAGTGCTTTACTGATATTACTGCACATTGACATCTACATCAGACCCTGTGATGTATTTTTTATTATCCCTATCTTAAGAACAGGAAAATATTTGGGATCAGATTGAGTTGCCCAAAGATACATGCATACTAACCCAGGTCCTTCTGATTCCAGACCCCAACTAACCACACAGACCCAGTTCTGGCTGAGGACTGAGCAAGGTCACTTCCTTTCACATGTGGTTCCCAGCTTAAGGAGTGAGTTGCATGAAGTCCATAAAAAGCTCCTCACTTTTAAATTTAATGTATTCACTTAATGCCTTATTATCTAGATTCTAAAAATTAACATATGGAAGTAGTATCTATCCTTTAGATTATTGTGTATCAAATATTTCTGAGTCATTGTGAGGAACCTCTAGGTCTATACTTGCTTAAAAATCTATTTAGCTCATACGTACTTTCATAATGTTTCAAAAAGAGAAAAAATCAGAAACAAGACTTTTCAAAGAAGGAAAAAGCAACATGATGCAAGGGAAGCCGACTAGAAGACGGAGCTGAAAGCAGAGTAACCAGACACTAATTAGAACTTCACACATAGTTAAAGGCTGAAGATCTGAGTCAGGGATATAGGGGGATTCTTTCAAATCCTTCAAAACTGAGTATTTATTTCATTAGTTTCATTTTCATAGAAATACATAATTTACTGCATCTTGGGTTATATACCCTCTCTCAGGTAACTATGGCTGGAGAAACTTATCAAATACCGAGAGAGACAGATCCAGTTCATATCAAAATATACCTTCTAGGTTTCTTTGTATCCTGTGAAGCTTAATGGGGACACACAGCACTTTTTTTCTAAGAACAGCAGTAACATTTTGCCTTGCTGCTCTTGAGAGCAGTCAGGCACAGAAGGGACAGCTGGGGGGATGGAGAACGACCTCTACAGACATGGATGAGTCTCCTGGCAGAAAGCTGACGGACACAGTCATTTGAAATCTTCTGCTCATGTCTGCTGTTTCCTAATGAACTAAGTCAATTGGTACAGATAATTCAGATATCAATAATGCAGTGAGATCATGATTATCTCATAGGATAAAGAAAAGCCCAGAACCATGTTTTTCCAATCTGGTAGCAGTTTTTGAACAGTTTTAGTTGTTTCAGTAAGCAAGTCCTCATTCATATAGTTTACATACAATTGGGTCAGAATGGACTTAGTTATAACTAGTGATAGAAAGACCACCACCAGACCAAGACTGACTCTTAATGAAGGATCCTAGGACTTTATTGCAGCTCTCAAATTTAACCAAAACCCTTCCTGCTGCATCTCATCAGCAGGCCACTCCAAGTAGGTCTTGGTGTTCATGATCTTCCGCAGCTTACAGAAGCGATGGGGGATGGCCTTTTTCTCAATGGGCTCCAGCAGAATGAGAATGGCAGCATCGTCGTTCTCATCAAAGAGACGAAAATGGGAGAAGTCCAGCTCGTACTTGCACCACTCACTCTTCACAAAGTTCTCAGAAAGCACAAAGATGGTTTTGTGGCTCTTTTCAATGGAGTCAATGATATTGTCGATAATCCACTTGCCAGGAATGAAGTCCCGCTTGTGAAGACACAACTTAAAGGGAGGTCTGAAGTGCTCCAGCTCCTGGACCATGAGGTTCTCCACCCAGTAGGAATCCTGTTCACTGTAGGACACAAAGGCGTCATAGCAGATGTCCCTGCGGGGAGCCTTCCTGGGCTTCCTCTTGGCCTGGAGCCAGGCCCACATCATCTTCATGTACCACAGTCCGTGGAAACGGTGGCACAGAACTCCCACGAGCAGGAGCGACAGGAAAAGGGCACAGCACACGGCAGACACCACGGCTGCCCTGTGGCATTCAGAAGGCGAGAGCCGGGTGTCCCGAACCCGCTGGCCCCGCACGGGGGATGGAGAGTCACACAGGTATTCTTCTGGCCAGTCGATCAGGACCTGGGCCAGGTCCTGCTGCCCCTGTGTGAAAGACAGGAAGTCACAGGAGCAAACGAAGCTGTTGCCACCAGCTTCCAAAGTCTTCAGTTTTTTAAAAGAATCAAGTTGCTCCTTAGAGAAAGTATTTATTGTATTTCTGCTGATTCTCATAACTAATAACACAGGTAACAAGGAGGCATCGGGTAGAGTCTTCAACTTATTTCTGGAAATATAAAGTTCATTGAGTTTTGGCAAAATCAAAGAAAATGAATCGAGATTGTTATTGCTAATATCTAAAATTTCCAGTGTCTGTGGAATGCAACGGGTTAAACTTTGTATTCTTGTGCTGGATAAGTTCAAATATTTCATTTTTCCTGGCCACTGACATGTTTCAGGCATTGAATGAAAATTATTCTTACTGATATCAAGGTTAGTCAGGTTTTTCAGAGTAAGCAAAATTTCTCCAGTTTTTTCTAATGATTTCAAACGATTCTGCCTTAAAACTAAGGTTTTTAGGAAGGGCCAGGCATGCTCACAGGCTGAGTTTTTCAAGGTTTCTTCAGACATTAAGTTTTCACTGAGATCCAAATATTCTAATGATTTTAAATGTTGTGAAAGTAAACAAGGAACCAGAAAAACCTTACTGTTTTCTATTGTGATTCTTTTAACTTTTCCTGTGAGTGAATATATATTACTCAGATCATGATATAAGAAAAACTGTGGAATATGCAACTTCCGTATTGTTAATGTCTCCACATCACCTAGGTATTTAATTGTCTCCAGAGTCAATGTCCCAAAATCACCAACTCCATCATGGGTACAGTCATCAAACTCTACTTCTAAGACTCCAGAAACATAATTAAACAGTTTCACAACTTCAGTAAAACTTTCGTCAGTGATTTGCACATTTCTAAATGTAAACTTTTTAATCGATGTATTCGTTTCATTGATGGATACTTCTGAAAAATGAAAAGTGTTCAAATTAGTATCTCTCAGTTCTAAATGTTCTAAGGAACTTAAAATATCTACAAAAATCTCCAACAGTAAAACAGGCTGCTTCAGATGAAGAATCAGATGGCTGATGTTCTGGATTGACTTTAAACTCTTTGGCGCATATGTCTGCAGATTTGGAGCATTAATCTCAAGTTTCTCAAGAAGAGTTAGCCCAGCGAAATCCTTTTCCTGAATCTCAGTGAAGCTGTTACTATTTCCTACTTTCAGGATTTGCAGATTTGGGAGATGAGAAAAAAGAGATCTTTCCCCGAGTGTTTTGTATAAATTTCCCAGTAAGTTTAAGAATTTTAAGGCAGAAAGGGATCTGAACCAGGAGGATGAGAAGTAAGATAAACGATTATAGGATAAGTCCAAATATTCAAGACTCCTCAGCGAAAAAAAAGCATCTTCCTCCACTGTGTGAATTTCATTGGCCCCCAGCCTCAGAGTCCTGAGGTTCACACACCTCCGCAGGTCGCTGTTGCTGACATAGGTGATTTCGTTGCTGGACAGGTCAAGGCTTTTCACAGCTCCCGTGAGCCCTGAGGGGATGGAGTTTAAAGATCTGGAGCGGCCATCGCAGACACCAGTGGGGTCACAAGACAGAGAAGAAGCCTGATCAGAGGCTCCTTCCTTGGGGAAGCTGATTACAGACCCCAAGACCCACACTGTCCACAAAGCAGGTGGCATTGTCCAGTGATCTCACCTACAAAGAAAAGAGGTTCAAATGAGTGATTGTGCTTGACGGCATAGCTTAATTCCAGTTCTTGAGAAACGTTTTGTAAGATGTAGCATGTGCGTACACACACACACACACACACACACACACACACACACACACACCCCAAGACATAACTGACAGGGAAATGGAATGTATGAATAAGGATAAAAAAATGAATTCCCTGACACATCCAGCAACAGATCGCCACTGAACAATGACTTTTAAAGGCACAGTACCATCTAGGAATATGCAGCAGGACCAAACGTGGGTTGAAAGATGAAAGTAAATGAATGATGGAGGATGAAAAAGCAAGCAGTTTAAGGGCTAGGCTTAACCATATGGATTTACAACCTCGTATTTGTATACTTCAGATCGTATATTGGAGCATGCCCCTTGCCTGTCCTGATGCCCCCATGAGTTAGAGATCTCACAGTGCCAAACCACAGCTCTCCTTGAACAACTTTCACTGAATACAGCTCCAGGAGGAGCATGCTCTTTAACCAAAAGAAAAAGGTCCCATGCTTGTCAACCTGTCTTGCACTTGGCACTAGCAGGTGCAAGGGGTGCTGAGAACCCCAGGCAGAGCAAGGTGTTTTGTTGGGCGGAGGGACAATCAGACCATCAAAACCTTCTCATCTGCAGTGAACTAAGTGCAGGAAGCAGTGTTTGACTCAGCACATCTTTCAAAAGATCATTTTGGGGAAACAATCAACAGTATTACCTTTGCCAGTACTCACGTGTCCATCTAAGGGTCAGTCTGTTTCAGGGCTCTCTAATCTAATCCAATGTCTATTTGTCTATCCTTGTACCGGTAACACACTATATTAAATATATGACATATCTTCATATCCAGGAGAGCAAGGCCTTCCTCCCTGTTCTTCTTTAAGTGAGTCTTGGTGCTTTGCATATTCTTATAAATTACAGAATCAGCTTATCAGTTTCAAAAACAAAACCCACTGATTTTTTAAAAATAAATTTGTTTATTTTATTTATTTTATTTTTGGCTGCGTTGGTGCACGTGGGCTTTCTCTAGTTGTGGTGAGCAGGGGCTAGTTTTCCCTGCAGTGCACAGGCTTCTCATTGCAGTGGCTTCTCTTGTTGTGGAGCACCGGCTCTAGGCACGAGGGCTTCAGTAGTTGTGACACTTGGGCTCAGTAATTGTGGCTCACGGGCTTAGTTGCTCCGCGGCATGTGGGATCTTCCTGGACCAGGGCTTGAACCCGTGTTCCCTGCATTGGCAGACAGATTCTTAACCACTGAGCCACCAGGGAAGCCCAAACCCATTGATTTTAATCGGCAATGCCATGACTCTATAGATATTTTGAAATTATTGACATCACTACAATATTGAATCTTTCGATCCATGAGCATGATGTATCTTTCCATTTATTTGGTCTTCATTACCACAATAATGTCTTATGATTTTCTACACAGAGGTCTTGAGCATATTTTGTGAGGTTTATTTCTAGGTATCTGATACTTTTGAAGTTTTGAAAATAGTATTACTTACTTATATGTGGCATATACCTATATATACAGAGAGAGAAATTCAATTAAGTTTTACATATCTACCATGCATTGAGCAACCTTGCAAAACTAATTCAGCAATTTCACAGTTTGTAGATTCCTTTTAATTTTCTACATACACAATCATATCATCCAGGTATAATGATGGTTTTATTTACTTTTTCCGATCCTTATACCTTTACTTCATTGTCTTGATTAGTGAATGTTGAATTTTATCAAAAATTTTTTTTCTTCCTGTAAATATTGAGATAAGAACATTTCCTCCTTCACTTTGTTAATAAATATTGGTGACTACAGTGGATAAATGTGTTAAAGCAACCTTGCATTTTTAGAATAAACCCACATTTGTCTGGATGCATTATCATTTTTATATATTGCTGGATTTTATTTATAATATTTTGTTTAGAATTTTTGAATCTATATTCAGAAGTAAAATTGCCTACAAATTTCTTTCTCCTAATGTCCTCATACAGATTCTGTTGTTGTTTGTTTTTGTTAAATACATTAATTTAACAGCTACAGAATGATTCAGATTTTCTTTTTATTCTTTTGTCAGTTGTGTTTTTCAAAGAATTTATCATTTTCTTCCAAATTTTCAAATTTACTGACATAGTTGCTTGCATCCTCTTATTGTTTTAATGTCTGCAGGACCTCTAGTCTATCCCTTAGATGATATTTGTGCCTGCTTTCTTTCTGAATTGTCTTGCCAGAGGTTTATCGTTTTTATTAGCATTTTTTAAAATTTATTTATTTTATCCATTTATTTTTGGCTGTATTGGGTCCTTGTTGCTACAGGCGAGCTTTCTCTAGTTGCAGCGAGCAGGGGCTACTCTTCGTTGCGATGCACGGGCTTCTCATTGCAGTGACTTCTCTTCTCTAGGCACGCGAGCTTCAGTAGTTGTGGCGAATGGCCTTCAGTAGTTGCGGCACACGGGCTTCAGTAGTTGCAGCGCACAGGCTTAGTTGCTCCATGGCATGTGGGAGGGATCTTCCTGGACCAGGGATCAAACCTGTGTCCCCTGCATTGGCAGCCAGATTCTCAACCACTGCACCACTGGGTAAGTCCTATCAGCATTTTTGAATAACCAACTTCTCACTCTATAGAGCCTCTATTATTTTCTATTTCATTAATTTCTACTCATATTACTATTTACTTCCTTCTGCTTTCTCTAGACTTATTTTACCATTCTCATTCTAATTTCCTGAGATAGACGCTTCCTCATTAATTTTCAGCCATTCTTCATTTCTAATATGTCCATTTCAGGGCATGAATTTTCATCTAAACACTAGTTTAGCTGTATTGTCCATGTCTCTCTTCTGTTCTTTCCATACTTCTGTCTCTTCAAGTTTCAATCTAGGTATTTTCTTCTGATCTATTTTCTAGTTTATTTTCCTTTCTTCAGCTATGTTTAATTTACTGTTAAATCCATCCACTGCTTTTAAATTTTTTTATTATTACAGTTTTCATCTATATAATTTCTATTTGGTTCCTTTCCACTTCTGTTATGTCATTTTTATAGTTTCAAATTCTCTGCCAAATTTTTCAGTTTTGTCTTTTATTGCGTTGAACACAGTAAACACCGTCTGACAGGCTGCAGAGCACTTTTGACAGCCTTAGAAAGCAGGGAGTTAAATGTTAAGGTCTGGGGCAGTCATGGATGGGATAGATAAGGCTGAACTAGAGGAAGATAAGTCCTCACAGGTTGCATCACAGCTTTGATTTATCTGGATGGCTCAGGCAGCCTTGATCTCTGAATATGGACTAAGATTATTTCTGGAACGCTAGTGCTCATGGGTACCTACAGAAGCAAAGGAAAATTTTCTCCAGAATAAGAAAACATCATCCTAGCCCTTAGATTTCTTTCTAGAAACAATTTTTCAAATAGAATGTCCAGTAAAACATGAAAAACAACTGGGCACTAACAAAAGCAAGGTGATAAGCATGAGAAAAGCAGAAACAGAAGACAACAGAAACTAACCCATAGAGGCTGCAGATCTAGCATTGTCCCCGCCTCTAAAACTGACAGGGTTAAGATGAAATGGCTATTACTATTTGGCACTATGTCTATTCCATTGTCTTTCTGCTTAATCGGTTGTTGAAAAAAAAATCCTCTTAGTATAATTGTACTGGAGAACCAAAATTTACCTGATTTTTTCCACTTTGTAACATATTGCACAAATCTTTAAAAATCTATACCAATTTTTGGCTAAAATTTAAGGTCATATACGTTCACTTTTTATTTTTCCCGGCTTTTTCTCTTAAGAGCAGAGATCTTGGGCTATTTCATATACATATTATATGATACCTATTACATGGTCGGTTTTCAACAAATAATAATTATTGATGATGCTAAAACTACAGTTAACAACTTGACACTTTAGGTCAGAATTACTTGTCTCTCCTCCCATTTCCCCAATACACTACAGGAGGGGGCAGAGAACTCCTCAATGTAAGACACTGAGAAAGGGAAGGGTGATGGCTCAAGTTAGATGGAGTGAAGTCAGATCTAATAAAGGCTGTGGATCTGCACAAAGTATAAAAATCATCTGCTTAAAGAATTCAGAAAGTTGCCAGAGTGGTGAGGAATTATTAGTCCAAGACTCGGGATAGGATGGAAGTCTGAGGAGTAAGCCTGGTGTTAGAGGCGACTTAGCTGAGAGGAAGTTGAAGCCCTGTGGCTCAGAGTGAAACCAGGAACAGATGCCCACTTTAGGGCGAGGGCTGAGATGCCTGGGTGAAGCCAGACTAGAGAAGGACTCATGGCCCAGTGCATGGTAGTGAAGTGACAGTGGGCTCTCCATACGGCCAAGCGCAGAGAAAAGGCTATGCCATATGTGAACAGGGGCCTCAAAAATCTCTGCCCTCTGACCCAGGGTCTCCACCTGGCTAAAAGCTAGTCTCCTAGAAATCTCCCATAAGAAATCAAAACCCAGGCCTGCCACATATGCTGGTGTGGATCCAAATATTAAAAGATATAATAACTAAGAATTTTTCAGAACTGAAGAAAAACATAAATTTACAAATTATAAATGCATATTGAATCCCAAAGAATAGAAATTCCTCATCTAGCCCCAAAACAATGGAATAATAGCCTCAAAGGGCTGAGAAAACATACCTGTTAGTCTAGACATCTATACCCATTTAAATAATCATCCAAGAGTAAAGATAAGACATTTTCAGACATTTGTAGACCTTCACTGAAAGAAGTACCCAAAAACATATGTTCTTCAACACATGGAAAATAAACCAGGTAAGAGTAGGCAACAGGAAGCAACAAGTGGATTTTTTTAGTGTAACGATAGATAAGAAAGACAGCACTCAGAAACTCAGACATGGGTTTCCTGCATGAGGAAAAAGTAATGTAAATTTTAAATGACATTGTGGAGATAAAAAAAAAATTTTTTTTTGACAAGCAAACCTATTTGGGAGGAGTAAATACAACTTAGATTTACTAAAATATCTTTATGAGGTCACACCCAAAGTGCCACATACAATAAATTATGCTCAATCACTGAAATCAAAACAAGATATTTAACCAACCAAGCCAAATTCTTAAGTAAAGCAATGAAAAAAAAAAAAAACTGATGGCTTAGAAACTTCCCAAACATGTTGTCAACTTCAGGTAATTTTCATAAAATTGATACATTATAAAAAGTTTAAAGAAGACACAAAGGTTCTCTGCTTAGAACAGGAAGAAGAAGAAACTTAAAATATTGGTGAATAAGTCATTTTCAAATAATCAGGTCAGGATATTTGCCTTTTTCTTTTCTTTCCTTTTTTTTTTTTTTTTTTTTTTTTTTTTTTTTTTTTTTTTTTTTTGGTGTCTACTTTCAAGTCAGCCATCCTATCTCCCAGTTGCTTGCTGGTAAAGATCTGAGTTAGTAACAGTGCAGACAAGACCTTCTGCAAGATTACAAGCATCTCACGCGGCTGAATTGTTTACACCCTGAACAATTTCTCTCTCTCTCCCAGCCCTTTTTTTTCTTTTTTCAAACAGGAAAAACACTATCCTGGCTGACATCCAAGTTCCGAACACAAGTTGTCATTTATAGACGTTGACGAAGTTTTAATGGCGTGAAGCCCCCCGGAGCAGACACCAGGCTCGGGGTTGGGGTGCGAGAGTCCTAGGCAGATCCGAGTCCTGACCCTGTCCCATTGCTGAGCCCTGGTGGCCGAAATCCCACCTTTGGAAGTTGGGTCCCAACGGTAAGCAGTGAGCGCAGACGCACCGCCAGCAGGACGCACCTATGCAACCTTGAAAGCCTCTATCTGAACCTCGTCACCGCCGCTCCGAGTGACGGGGGCAGGGGCGACCGGGGCTCCCTGAGCCGCCGGCGAGAGGGCTGCCCTTCGGGAACCGGAGCCACCGGCCACCCCGCCTCCCGGAACGCGGCCGCCCGCAGCGCGGAGCCCGCGGAAGCTCCCCACGGCGCCCCATCGGAAGCTGGATGGCCCCGCCACGGCCCGCGGGCACCGGGACGCCAAGGGCTGGGCGAACCTCAGCCGCACCCTCGTCCCTTTCCGTGAGGTCCCCGCTTCTCTCACCTCGGCGGGGCGGGTGTCCACATTCCCGTGCGGGGCCTAGCAGACGGGGCTGCAGGAGCGTCGACGGCCTCGGGGCAGGGGGCTCCCCCCTTCCCCGGGCCCGTGCCGCACGACTGGGGTCCCGGGTGCCGCCGACTGGGAGGCGCGGATGCCCGGCGCCCGCGTCCGCGCCTCGGCCACCCTGGGACCCTGCCCGCCCGGTCCGGGAAGGGCTGCGGAGCAAGGAAGCCTGCCGAGCGTATTTTTGGGCCCGATGTATCAGGAGACTGCGCAGCTGCCGCCAGGCCGCGCCTTCTGCCGCCTCCGGCCCGGACCTGCCCGCGCCCCGGAAGAGTGCGCGGGGACGCTGCGTGTGGCCGGCGCCCCCTTCTCCAGGGTGCGGTGACCACCCGTTCCGCGGAGCGCGCCTGGCACCTGTGGCCTGGGGCCAGCCGCCGCTTCCCTTTCCGCGGGCTCCGTCGGGTGACCGTGACCCAGGTGCTACCCCACCGCCGCCTGGTGCCCGGCTCGGGTCGGAGGCGGGCGCTGGGGCCAGGGTGTGCGGAGGTGCTTAAGGCCTCCGCGTGGGATTCCCCCAGCACAGAGTTAGATTTCGAAACCAACGAGAAGGCTTATTACCCAACCACTATTTTCTTGAAGCCTCGGGCACCCAAAGCCTCTTATTGCCCTGAAACACGCCGTCTCCATTCTTCTGAGTCCTTGGTCGCCCAAATTCAGGCTCACGAATCATGCCTCTCATCCACCTCCCACGCCCACCACGACCTTTTAAACACAATTTCCCGGTCAGTATATCTCCAGGGTCCACTTCCACCCGCAAGTCTATTCTCTCGTGCATTAGAATAACTCACCAGTCACTATCCAAAGCAACGCAGCAAGATTTTGCCTGAAGAGCAGATAAGGACAGCCCAGATTTTTTTAAAATTTCAATCTTGTGGCGGTCCCCTGGTGGTGCGCTGACTTTCCCTAGCACCCACCTCCCATCCCTGCTCTTACCGTGAAAAGATGTGGGCTCCCCCTTATGTCTAAGATTTTGAACCTAAGTCCTTCCCTTGCGCATTTCCATCCTTGTTTCTCAAAGTGGGTAATTCCCAAACGAACAGTCTTAGATTGGCTTTCTTCATTGCCACAGAAACTAGTGAGACATGTTTGTAAGGGAAACTAGCTACCTTTTCAAAATTAAGCTGCCTTAATATTCATAAACTATATTTTATTTTCATAATTACATTTGACCTTCCCAAATTGAGATTGGAGGCTGAAGAAGCATTCTAGTTCCTCTTTGACACAGGAGGAAATGCCATGCAAATTCTAAGTGGCAGAATTGAGATTTGAAACCAGAATTTTACCCTAAACCCAGGGTTCTTTCTGTTACCCTATTTCACATGCCTAGTCTTCATCAAAGGCTCCAGCCTTAGGCAAACTTAATCTATAGACATGAATGTGAACTTGAGGGGATGGAGTCTGTTTTTCTATACAGTTTACTGATTACCATGGGGACATTTCTCTGCATCCCTGACCATCCAGGCTCTCCAGCTGTCTGAAACACTTTCTTCCTATTACTTCAAAATCTCCCCCTGTCTTCCTCATGATTTCTCAAGTGTGTCCTTCAGAAAACTTCTTTCCAATTTTTTGCCCTGAAACTGAAAACCTCTGTTCTTTCTCTATATATCTTTTCTAGTTGAGCTGCCTAGATTGACTGATGTTATTGCTTTGTAATCCCAAAGTTGATTAGAATTTTCTGACAAAGTTAAGTAGAAATTATGTATTTACCCACAACTTACTACCAGTGTCATCTACATGCAGTGAATTTTTCTCTACACTCTCAGCAAAGCTATTAGCACCTTCTACTCAGGCACATCCTCATACGTGTTCAGTTCTTGACGTTTTCAAAGCACTTTCACATAAATCTTTTCACCTGAGTCTTATAATAACACGTGAAATAAATAGTTCTGATATTATTACACCTTCAGTTCAAGTGATTAAAGAACTTGCCTCAAGTCATATGGCTCAGAGCCAAGTGGCAAATCCCAGGTTAGACTCCAAAATGCCTTAGCTTCTTTTTAGTATAAGACCTCCTCTAACTGCCTACACAACTTATTTTTTTTTAAGTTAGAAAATGAACACAATATGAAAAGATAATTCGGTAAAAAGTAACTTTCATGGTATCTATTTTTTGAGAATCTGACTGAAATTCTAAAATGAAGTTATCAAAAAACACTGTCTTGTTCACATAAAATATTTTGTAATAGAGAAAATAATAAATATATCCGTCAAAAATCATTTAATGAAAATCTGCTGTAATCCTTGCACTAATACACAGATCGTTGTACACAAATGCTCATTCTTCAAAATTTTTCTACTTTGAAGAGATTTCAATAACATCTGTAACTTTTGAAGAATACTATTCATTAGTGCCTATGCAAAATGATAATAGTAAAACTCTGAATCAACATAGAGCTGAGTTTTGAAACCTGAGAATATTTCATTGTATAGATAATTTTCTTGTAAAAACTAGAATTGTTCTTCAACTGAAACCCTTCCTGCTCTTTCACATAAATCTTTTCACCTGAGTCTTATAATAACACGTGAAATAAATAGTTCTGATATTATTACACCTTCAGTTCAAGTGATTAAAGAACTTGCCTCAAGTCATATGGCTCAGAGCCAAGTGGCAAATCCCAGGTTAGACTCCAAAATGCCTTAGCTTCTTTTTAGTATAAGACCTCCTCTAACTGCCTACACAACTTATTTTTTTTTAAGTTAGAAAATGAACACAATATGAAAAGATAATTCGGTAAAAAGTAACTTTCATGGTATCTATTTTTTGAGAATCTGACTGAAATTCTAAAATGAAGTTATCAAAAAACACTGTCTTGTTCACATAAAATATTTTGTAATAGAGAAAATAATAAATATATCCGTCAAAAATCATTTAATGAAAATCTGCTGTAATCCTTGCACTAATACACAGATCGTTGTACACAAATGCTCATTCTTCAAAATTTTTCTACTTTGAAGAGATTTCAATAACATCTGTAACTTTTGAAGAATACTATTCATTAGTGCCTATGCAAAATGATAATAGTAAAACTCTGAATCAACATAGAGCTGAGTTTTGAAACCTGAGAATATTTCATTGTATAGATAATTTTCTTGTAAAAACTAGAATTGTTCTTCAACTGAAACCCTTCCTGCTGGGGATGGCCTTTTTCTCAATGGGCTCCAGCAGAATGAGAATGGCAGCATCGTCGTTCTCATCAAAGAGACGAAAATGGGAGAAGTCCAGCTCGTACTTGCACCACTCACTCTTCACAAAGTTCTCAGAAAGCACAAAGATGGTTTTGTGGCTCTTTTCAATGGAGTCAATGATATTGTCGATAATCCACTTGCCAGGAATGAAGTCCCGCTTGTGAAGACACAACTTAAAGGGAGGTCTGAAGTGCTCCAGCTCCTGGACCATGAGGTTCTCCACCCAGTAGGAATCCTGTTCACTGTAGGACACAAAGGCGTCATAGCAGATGTCCCTGCGGGGAGCCTTCCTGGGCTTCCTCTTGGCCTGGAGCCAGGCCCACATCATCTTCATGTACCACAGTCCGTGGAAACGGTGGCACAGAACTCCCACGAGCAGGAGCGACAGGAAAAGGGCACAGCACACGGCAGACACCACGGCTGCCCTGTGGCATTCAGAAGGCGAGAGCCGGGTGTCCCGAACCCGCTGGCCCCGCACGGGGGATGGAGAGTCACACAGGTATTCTTCTGGCCAGTCGATCAGGACCTGGGCCAGGTCCTGCTGCCCCTGTGTGAAAGACAGGAAGTCACAGGAGCAAACGAAGCTGTTGCCACCAGCTTCCAAAGTCTTCAGTTTTTGAAAAGAATCAAATTGCTCCTTAGAGAAAGTTTTATTTTCTTGCTTACTTTCCAAGAAGAAGGAAGTACCTGGGAGCATCTTCGACATGTACCTGAAAATGTAAAGTTCTTTAAGATGTGACAAAATAAAAGACTATATTGCTAACATCTAATATGCCTAGTGTCTGGGAAACATTGAGTGTTAGATTATATAGTTTGACACTGGATAAATTCAAGTATGTTACCTTTTCTGGCCACTGATAAGAGTTAAGTAAAGAACCAAGTGTACCCTGACAAAGATCAATGTTAGTCAGGTTTTTCTAGAGAAAGCAACATTGTCCCGAGTTTATAGATTATTTTGTCTTAAAATCAAAGTATGTAGGGAGAACCTTTGAACTGACTGCTTCAGTTATTCTCCAACCATCAAATATTCACTGAGATCCGAGTATCCTGTGGATTTTAAATATTGAGAAGGGAGATATGGTATTAAGCAAGTTTTGGCAGTTTCAACTGTGAATATCTTTAGTTAACATAAAAGCATGTTTTTAAAGTTCTGTCATTGTGGAAAATTCTCATAGCTAAGCTCTGCTGTTATTACAGTTTCTGTGGGGCCTGGTCTGCTCATGGAATCGCAGCCATCCCATTTTCCATTTTCCAGAAGTACAGTCTTCCAGTTCTATATTCAATAACTGATTTTCAAATCTTACTGTTTAATTACTTCAACTTGTTTTACTATTAGTTTTTTCACTGTGGGCCTGAGTGTAAGAGTGTCTTCTGTTACTTGTGATCTCATATGAAGAGCAGTATTTCTGAGTTCTAAATATTTTTGGAAACTTGAAAGATTGACAAAACCTTTCAGAGTGAAATTGACCTCTTTATGTGTGGTCAAAAGGTACAAATTTCCAGTTATTAGATATATACTTCTGGGAATGTAATGTACAGCATGGTGACTATAGTTGGTAATACTGTTTTAGTAATACTGTTATTATACCTTCAAAAGTTGCTAAGAGTAGATCTTAAAAGTTCTCATCACCAGAAAAAAATAGTAACTATGTGAAATGATGGATTTTAACTAAACTTATTGTGATGATTATTTCACACTATATATACATATATCAAATCATTATGTTATACATCTTAAACTAATACAATACTACATGTCAATCATATCTCAATAAAACTCGGGCAGGGGGTACACATTGAGATACCACTACATGCCCACTAGAAAGGCTAAAATGAAAGACTGACAATACCGACAATACCGAGGATGTAGAACAACTGAAACTCTCATACATTGCTGCTGGCAATGCAAAACGATACACCCACTTTGGGAAAGTTTGACAGTTTCTTATCAAATTAAATATGCACTTAATGATGCAACAATCTCAATCCTAGGTAATTACCCACGAGAAATGAAAAAATAAGTCCACACAAAAGCATGTACTTTATTCAGAGCTAGAAATGACCCAAATATCTATCATCTCATGAACAGATAAAGAAATCGTTCTATGTGTATACGATAGAATACCACTCAACAATAAAAAGGCAGAGCTGCTGAAATATGCAAGAATATGGATGATCTGAAAAGAATTATACTAAGTGAAAGAAGTCAGACACAAACAAATACATACTATAGAATTCATTTAAATGAATTCTACACAATTCATTTAGATTTAAATTCTACACAAAGCAAAACTATGACAGAAAGCAGGGGTATCAGGGAGCCGGGTTGGGGAGGGGATTGATTGCATAGAGGCATATGGGGACTTTGGGGGATGATAGAAACGTTCTGTATCATGATTGCCATGGTGGTTACATGACTGTATCTCTTTGTCAAGCTCATCAAACTGTACTTTTTATATTGATAAATTTTATTATATATAAATTATCTCAATAAAACCGACTTTAAAACATCCTCTTCTCTCCAAGAGCAAAGGATGGATATATCAGGCCTCCAAAATACAGAAGCTAACCTTTTGCTTGCCTTTTAGAGAAGAAAGGAGAAAACACCTGATTTCTCTAGCAGGTCATCCTGCCTTGCTTATAAAATGTCTCCTTTTACTTTAATAAGTTTACATTAATTTCTCTCGCAACAAAAAGAAACCTGACTAAGATATTTCCTGATGGAAAGAAAATTGTTTCTTAAGTAACTCAGGAAGTCCAAACTACCTAGAAATATAATACCATAAAATCTTCTAATATCATATTCAGATGGTTTTATCTCTTCTGGAATGCTCATTTTCAGCTTTCCGCCTTGCAATACCACTCCATGTGTAATCAGAGCGATTCATCACGCAAATTTTACAAAGTCCATTCCAGGACTAAACTCATCAGACCATAATGACTCCAGGAATTAAGATATTCCTAGTAAGAATGGTCTAAATGTTCATTTTTTAAAAAAGAAAGGAAGAAAGAAAGAAAGAAGAAACAAAGACCAATAAAATCTCTTAGAGTAAAATTGACTGCTTCATCTGTCAGCCCCAGTGACTGATCTTCTGCATTGATTTCAGACTTCTTGGTACCTAACTCCAAGGACTGGAAGCATCAAACTTAAGTTAATTCAGAACAGAAAGTCCATAAAAGTCTTTTTTTTTTTTTAATTTAGGGAATCTGAATATTTCAGGAATCTAAAACTTGGGAAAATGAAAAAAGAGAGGGAAAGA